CCAACTGGATTGAACTCCATTCACCACAACTCTCTGGGCCCGGCCATCTAGCCAGTTTTTTACCCAGCGCAGAGTACACCTGTCTAAGCTATGAGCCACCAATGTTTTACTTGCATTTTTCCTCTCTGCCCTGTATTTTCTATCATCAAAGTTTTGCTAACAATGATTTGCTGCCTTCTGCTTAAAGAAGCGCTATTCCAGAAGGTTTTGCATCCCATACAGTCTATAACACCATAACTCAATACCCCCACAAACGCATCGTACCGTAAGACTAGTCTGATGGACTGTAAAATAGTGCTGTGCAGTCACAAGCCAACCTGTAGAAGTCAAGATACAGAAGCCCGGGCTCACTTGTCCATGTGGTCTCCAGAAAGAGAACAGAATTGCCATAATCTTTTCTTTTCATTGTAGTGATTCAGATCAGAGCTCAAAACCATAAATAGCTGAACAGGTAACGCCAAAGGAATTGAGAATTTCAACTCATGAACAAAGTAGTTTAGAGCAGGAATTTCTTTTATCTGAGCCATCATGAAAGGGATTATATCACTGAACTACATCCCCCAACAAATATTCTCAAAATTAGTAGCGAAGAAACTAACTGGCTGCATTTACACATCACACGTCACAGTATTAATTGGTAATCTTTTTCAGTTAAATTTTTGTAATACAAAGTAAAAACTAATTTAATATCTTCAAAATGGTTTACTCACCTCATCTAAGTCTTTAATATAAACAATTTTCTCTTCAATACCAATAGGCATTGGTTCACTATGGGGGATCTTTACCTCTTCATACATTTTATTGTTTCTCTCTGAACTGCCTCTGGTAAGAACACCTAAAACAGTGTTACAGGAAAATTAATTGGAAGTATGAAAACAGAAAGTGTCATTACATATAACCCACTTTGAACAATGGTTTATCACTTTCCTTTAAAAAATGAATCCAAAATAAAAGCAATTCTCACGGATTCATTTTATAGATAGCACTGAACCCCCAAAATGGAAAATAATCATTTTACTACTCAGCAAATAGTCCCAAAAAGACAAAAATAACTGCATTTTATTAAATTTCAAAAGCCATTAAGTCTAGAATTTCATAAAGCATTCATTTTGCTAAAGTCAGTTCAATGGTTTCCAAAAGACAGAAAGAGAAAAATAGTATTTTAATGATTTAAGTGACCCTAGAAATAAAACCAAATACATTAGTTGAGAATGAGATTATTTCTTCTAGAGTCAAAATAAAAACAGAATATATGAAAGTGTTTAAACCCTCTGCAAAGAAGCACTGCTTCATACATTGGACTCTGTTAAGGAGGAAAATCGCTAAGGGAACAAAGGGAACTCTGCTGCACATTATTCACTGGGAAAGATGTACTGTTCAAGAAGGGTCATGCACCACACACATACCTTTGCACCCCCAATGAATGCTGATGTTTTCATAGCTTCAGCTCGGGAATCATAAACATGCGGATAATGAATTTTTTCGAAGTCCATTTCTCTCTGTCTACCTAGGACCGGCATACTTCGAGCATTCAAAAGTGCTAGCTCTCTGTGAGCAGAAAAATAACTGCAATAATTCTGTTCATTTTAGGCAGCCATCACAGAAACTGAATGTGGTATATTAAAGTCGGAGCAAGAGTTGTGGAAATTTAAGGAAAAAAACACCGCATAAAATAATTAACAAAGGAATTTTACAGTGTTATTCTCTGGCATCAGTTAAACCAAGTCCTTATAACACATTGTTTAGACAAAAATCAAAAGTGCAATCCAAGAAGTGCAAGGCTTTCCTAAACGCAGTTTTGTCTCTTTTTAAGCAATACAGCAACATGTATTCACAGTTAAATACCAGTCCTACTATATTTTTCTTAATATGGAATACAACAGCTTATTTGCTCCTTATCCTCTCCCTCCCCTACTCCTCCCACTACCTTTAGCTAACAACATGGAAAGTAGTATCCATTAATCTTGAGAGGAAAAAAAAGAAAGACAGTTCTGAAAGATTTAGTACAGACTTCATAAATCTTAAGCAAGTAGTGTGCGTACAGGAACTAAGAAAGATAGCCTACCCCTCTAATCTGCACCTCCAGCCCACATAGATGAGATCAAGACTCTCATTAAGCAGATCACTGCTTTCTTTCCCTGAAAATTAGGTTTTCATATTAAAAAAAATTTCTACACTTGTAATAAAACGTGACTTGAAGTCAGAATCACCTAATCACCAAAGCAAACTGAAAGAAAATAAACTATTATGATATGTTGAAGTAGCAATTACAACAGAGGCATTTCTCAACTTTTGGCATTTATTACCTTTGCATCCGCAGCTCTTTGGGATCAAAGCACATCAGTCCTTCTCCAGAAACTTCTCCATCTTCCCCAGCTTGTTTTTCTTTTCTGGCATTTCGCTTTTCTTCCCGACGATATTGCTTCATTAACAGCTTTTCTTGTTCAGACTGAATTGTAACTTGACAACCATAATTGGGCTTAGCATTTTCTCCTATAAACTTCTTGCACTGTTCTGCAATACAATAACAGGTATGCATCTCCATAAGTACTGGATTCCATCTTTGTTTTCCCCCGTTTTCTTCTAAAGGTTTGTTTTTTGAGGTTTGTTTTCTTTTTGGGGGGATGGTGGGGGGTTGTGCGTGTGTGTTTAAAGATAGTTTAGCTTTATTTAGATGACCGTGCAGCAGCTGGTCTCAAGAAGTCTGAAAGAAGTACCAGCTCATGTCTCAAAGGTAGGATGTTTAAAGTTACCATTGTTAAGAAAACAAAAATTCTTCATCCCAAAACAAGAGGATGGGCTAGCAGCAAAAGGAAGGGTTTTTTCTTTTCTGTATTTATAACTTCATCAACAGTGGAAATGCCACTTATCTCTCCTCTTGCACGTATACATTGTTGAGTAGAATGGTGAGAAAACATTAAAACAGGCTGGTTTTTTTAAACAGCTGTTTTTTTTAAACAGCCTCTTCACAAAACAATTAGTGTGTATTTACTAGATAACATGATTGTATTGAAAGCATACTCACAATGTAATTTCCCTAAACAAGCGAGAAAAGAAATCCTGTTCTATACAACCACAAGGACTTCTTCCCTTTATGTGGAAAGCAGAAGGACTGAATCAAGGAGAATCAGAACCACAGAACAATTACAGTAAACAATTAATCTAGGGGAACAGAGAACCCGAAAAAGCCCAGTCACATTCAACCTTCCAAGGCCATTACTGGCCAAACCAAAGACACAATCAATGCATGTTTTATATGCAATGGGGTGGAAAGATTTGTTTTGTTTTTAACTATATCAGTGTTTTTAAACTTCTGTTTTCAAAATTCTGCAAACAGATTATTAGTTTATGTAGGTTTCACTGAATATTATATACTTAATTCAATTATGTTTCATATGTACTTTTGCAGTCAAACTCTGAAGCTGAAAACTTGAAAACTTTTTTTCATCAAATAAACCCATTTGACTGATGTTTTGAACAATTTGTGCTGCTTAGTTTTCACCTACAGTAACAGTGAAACTCCTACCTCTCACAGCATGAATGCTGGATAAAGTGACTATAATTTGTTAAACAGCATTGAAAAAATTCTAATAAACTGTCAAAATGTCCACATTAATACCATCATGTCTATAGCTTTAACTCTCTTTCCCTTGTATTAAAAGGGGGCAACAATGGATGCAATTTCCTAACTAAATTTAATTCAGACTGAACACACCAGGGCAAAGAACTGTTACTTGATTTGTCTGATAAGCACAACAATCACCTTTGCTGCCATGGAAGTAAATTACATAAGAAATAGTCAAATAATACAGCATGCTACAAAAATGAAGTACACTTACAGTTCCTTGACTTGTGCTTATTTTCCTAAGACACAAATTACTCAAAGTTGACTAAATTTCTGCAGACACAAATTATCCCCTTCCCCAAATGCAATTCTGGAAAGATAAAACTTTAATCCCCATTAGAAATACCACTTTGATCAACTTTAAAGAAAAAAACTTATTAAAATTAATAAACAGAACTTAGGGCAGAGCATCTTCAATCTCAGAGAAGATACTCAAATATCATTGACTTCTTTACCACAGTGAAAGAAGGGTTCTCTCGTCAGTGAAAAAAAGCATACAATTAGTAATGCTTTCCTATTGTCTCAAAAGCACAATATTGAAAATATTGTTCCTCCACATTCTAGCAGAAATTACTGTGATAGATTTTACTGATGGCATAACGAAGAATAAACTCATAAAAGCTTCCAAAATACCACTTCTGCTAAGTGAGAAGAAAATATTTGTGTAACTAAAAATCTGCACACAGGAGAAAAACGATAATAGTTCAGTTTCTACTGAATGTATTTTAAATTTTTTATTATTTGATTATTTCAGAAGGGAAAAAACACCAAGACACAAAACCTTGTTATACTGATAGCAAGACATTCCACTTTGAAATCACGAACAGATAAAACTAACGGTTGTTCTGATGAGTTTAGACTAACCATCAGCACAATAAGAGGTGAACTTCTAAGCACTTGCCTATATAACATTTCACATAAACTTATTAAAAAGGGTTTATTTGCATTTTAAAATTATTGTGAGGATACGTAAGTCCACCATTACTAGTTTTATTCACATTTTTCTAACTTCGTATGCTGTGAACATGCAATAGGCTGCATGGTGCTACGTCCATGTAAGATTTATCCCAAGTCACAACCTATTCACAATCAGATTTATTTTTGTCAGAAGAGAAAGAAAGAAGACTTGTTTTTAAACAGCAATTTATAAAACAGATTTTAAAAGAATTACTCTGTGCAGGCAATTTATAAAAACAAAAATTACGGTATAAAACCTGTACCACTCTTCTTCCTCTCATTCATCCATCCTTAAGCGTCACTTTATTTTTTTCAGAAGTGATTGTTACTGCGCTTTTTCTCCCCAAGACCTACATTTGATGATAGTACAGAAGCACGAAGAAGTACTTTTACTAAGTAAAAAAACAAAAACAAAAACTGCGAAGGCAAAAGCGCAGGGGGTGAGAGGGTGCCCCAGCCCCCCCATTCCCCGAGCCGGAGGAGGGAGCTCCTGACGAGCGGCAGCTCTGACTCAGGGCGGGCGGGGACAGGAGGGATGGCGGCCAAACCCCCTCACATACAAGAGCAGCCCCCAGGGAGCACGAGTGACAGGGATC